ACAGCGTCCTCGTCATTTTCGAATGTGTGTTCTAAAAAAATTTTCTCCAACTCCGAACACTTCACACTCGCCTTGTCTTCAAAATACAGAATCCTTAGTCTTCGGTTACGAACATCCTCATCTACCCTATTCATGGTGTGTCTAAGACCGGTTATTAGGTCGAACTCCCGCTTCCCAAAAGAGACCCTATTCCTGATTAGGTTAAAACTAATGAGGTCCTCTCTAGGTTCTTCCACCTCTCTAAGCAACAGGTGATGGAGCAACGGACCGTTAAATACGACGTTCATCCCTAAAATCGGACCAAAACATGTTTGACTAAACATGTCTAACTGAGAGGGAGTTAACCTAGCCTTTAGACGAGAAGAGGTTTTCCCTACGTGAGCGAGGTTTGACAGCGCGGCCGGAAACCAGTCGTCTCGATTGATCTTAAGTGTCATACTCATGTCTCCTGTAACAAAACAAAACAAAATTTATTAAATATGTTGTCAATTCCATATTGGGCTTCTTCCAACTTAGAAACGGACCGGGTTGAAGCCTGGGATGGAATCCAGAAAGGAAATCCCAGAAGGATGGACTTTCTGGATTCCATCTCGGGCCTCATCTCGGTTCGAAATGGACCGGGATGAGTCCCAAGATGAAATCCATAAAGGAAATCCCAGAAGGATGGACTTTCTGGAATCCATCTCGGTCTTGTCTCGGTCCATTTCGAACCGATATGAGTCCCGAGATGGAACCCAGAAAGTCCATTCCAGATGGATGACCTTTCTGGATTCCATCTCAACCATCATCCCGGTTCGAAACGGACCGAGACGAGAATAGCGATTGTCAGCAAAAAAAAAGGGTTAGGGTTTCATCTCAGTCCTAAACCCACCGGGCTTAAAGCCGAGATGGAACCCTTCAACAAAAAAAAAATTAATGGAAGCAACACAAGAACCTTGGCTACTTCAGATAGAGCCGAAGGTTGAAATCTTTCATACCCACGCAAAGAACGAAGGAAAAAAAAGTAGAAAATCATTCACACCAAGATCGCAAGTTCGAAAGAAAAATTACCTCGATTAGGGAAGGGGGAAAGCTCTGATAGAGACGAAGCGAGGGAGACGAGAAGAGAAACGACGRAGATGAAGCGCGAARTGAGGGAGATAGCGAGATGAAGACTGRGATGGACAACGAGATAGTYAATGAGGGAGGGGAAGGACCGAGACAGGGAGGGAAAGGAGACGAGGGCTGGGTTTGATTTCTTTTTTTAAATTGAGGGTAACTTGGTAATTTTACCAAGCAAAATAAGGGGAGAGGTCAGAAAACTGAAGTAGAGGGGTCATGAATAAGTAAATATCAAAAGGGGTCAAAAATCCAAAATGATTATTGGTAGGGGTCAAACAATTTCCCAAATTATCACCGGAAAGAAAATAAAAAGAATGAAATTCATATACAGAAATTTGTTTTCATTTTATTTTTTCATAACAAAATTTAACTTTTAATAAAAATATATATATATATCGAACAAATTTTTAAAATTTTGTGTTCCTCTGACTTGTTCTCATACCAAATTAAATTATTTTTTATTTAAAAACATGGGTGGGATGGGACTGGGAACAACGATACTAAGTACACGATCACATCATACGTTAGAAAATCCCATAAACTTTTAAAAACAAATTCACTAAAAAAAATATGTATCACACATAAAATAATCTAATTCAACCCATTAAAATCTTAATTAATTACCCTCGAACGAAAAATATCTTAATTAATTACATCTACTGAGAATGACAAGCCTCAGGCCTTGTGGCAAAAGCTTTGATTATATTAATTTAATATCCTGTAAAGGTCGTTAATTCAGGTATCAGGATTCAAATTTCAAGCAGGGGGTCCATTCTATTCTGTCGCAGCTCTTTTTGTGGCAGCCACTACACTTTCAAAATCAAAATTCAAAGGCCATGGCTGAAAGAGAGCAAAAGTAATGGCTGCTGGCTTCACCCTTTTGCTTCAATTTCATAATTATATATTTATCAACTCTCATCTGCAAGTGGGTATTAGTTTATTTCAGTCAATCGCCATCCTCGATACTTCCTATTCATTGCCCCGGCCCCCTAATAAGGAAGATGATGAACTGAAACTGTTCAAGAAATCTTTGACCCTTTGATTTTTCTTCGGTTCTTTTTTTGTTTTAATAAATTGGGCGGTGGTAACGAATGGAGATTTGTCTTCCTTCGCGTTGGGGTTCGGGATTTCTTTTGTCTTTCATGAACATCGATTCTTTCCTCCATTAATGGTTTTTGACCTCGAAACTGACACTGTTAAAATTTTTATCCAGTTCTTAGGTTTCGCTTTTTGCATTTGGGCGTTTTGGGTGACTGTTTCGGAATCATATGGATTGGTCTTCTCTGAGATTATAATATGCTTCTTTATGTTTAAAGGGTTTGAATCTTTTTTGTTTCTCTTTTGTCGGTAGATTTTGGAAAAATTCGTAGTATTGGCAACTTTCTGGTGGGGGAAATTTGAGGTTAGTCATTATAGTGGGTGGGTGTGATTTTGGTTTAAATTCACGGGGAAATTGGTTTGTCACGAGAAAGTGCGTTGAAGCCTCGAGGGCAAAGCTCATATTTCTCAACTGATTCAGAGAGATTGCAAGTTTTTTCTTCATCCTCTTAGATATCAATTAGCTTGCTGTTCTACAACATTAGGGAAACTATTCAAACTCCTCCTTTTAGTGAGACAAACAGAAGGGGAGGGGAGAAATACATAGAGAGAGAGAGAGAGAGAGAGGGAGAGTTTTCTCTTAATTATTCATTTATTAATTTCCTCGTTGTGTTTTATTGGAATGGATCATTCTGGGGAAGCCAGTAGCCAGAAAGCAGCAGTTGAAGTTGCTCAAGACAAGAATGGTGTGGAGCAAGTGCTGCTTCGGAACTCTCGGGGAGCTTCAGCAAGGGTACCACCTCCATTTTCTTCGTCTATGAAATATATATTTATAGGCTAGATTATAATTTTAGTCTTATACTTTAACAGTTTGACCAGTTGAAATTATGTTACAAAATTTTGTATCATATTGAGTCAATATCGTTAACATCATTAATGAAATACTAGCGTGAGATGTTCATTAAATGAATTATAATTGAGTTGACATGATGTGGTAGATAGTTAGACAGATCGATAGGCATGTCATGATATGGTAGATGGTTGGATAGATTATTAGGCATGTTGCAGCGCTTTCTTATAGTGTATATTTGATTTGTATATTATGTATATGGCCTTTGCGATGTTGGTTGTTTCAGTCTAAAATCAAAATTCTTTTATTCGATTTCCAGTATTGAGTATCTACAAGGCACCTTTTCCTTTATAAAAGGGCAAACCTTCACATTAGGCCATCAAGCGCAATGGAGGACATTATTAACCAAATTATAAACATGAAGTTTAGGGCTTGTTTGATTTCCATTGCGTTGGAAAACCATGCCTATTATTTACTTTCAAAATATTTTTGAAATCCTAGGCAAAATTTGAGAACTAAAAAGAGGTAGTTTTCAAAAATCAATTTTTTTGTTTAGTGCTTTTAGAAAGTGAAAAACTAAACAAAGAAAACATGGGGACAAGTTTTTTCTATAAACTTGGTTTTTCTGAGACAGAAAACCAAAAATAAAATCGTTAGCACATGGGGTCTCAAATGTTTGATTTGGTTTTCATTCATATCCATCCCAACTGGAGGAGGGATATGGTAATTAAGAATGATTGTGGTTTGCATCTTTATAATAACTGTTCTTGTTCTTGATGTTTTTATTATTGTTGTATACATAATCCAGGTAAGCTTGCATGGAGGCCAAGTTCTTTCATGGAAGACTGAAAAAGGTGACGAACTATTGTTCACTAGCACTAAGGTAATATCATCTTCTAATTATTCAACTAGCCAAAGCCCATGCAGAAACCAAGGCCTTTGGAATGATACTCTTTGTAGATCTACTCTCACTTCATTACCCATCAAAAGTCTAAGTTGTACTGATAGGCAAAGAACAGTTGTGAAGCATGAGAGAGCATAACTTGTATATTCTTTTCCTTGTCTGTATCTTGCCCATTTCAACTGTTTGCTCTGGTTTGATTTGATGCCTTAGATGAAAACTTTCGGTTCTCTCCAAACTAATTCTGTCTCAATTATCACAATTGCACTTAACATGAAGCATTGAGCATGAGAGCTTATCATTTGTTTTCCTCTCCTCTGTAGGCTGTTTTTAAGCCACCAAAAGCTGTGAGAGGAGGAATTCCGATTTGTTTTCCTCAGGTGTGTAGTGCTTATTTGTGAAGATCATTTTTTCCCCACCATTTGTCTCGTATAGCCTAATTGATCTGCTCCCTTGTGTATCTAGTTTCATAGGTCTTTTTTTAAACAATTTGTAGATTGATTGTTCTGTTATGCATACCTAGTTTGGAGCTCGTGGTAACCTTGAGCAGCACGGGTTTGCTCGAAACAAGATTTGGAAAATCGATGATAATCCTCCTCCTCTTAATCGCGGTGAAATCAAGGACAAATCCTGCATTGACTTGCTACTTAAACCTTCTGAAGATGATCTGAAAATATGGCCACATAGGTTAGAATTGAAATAGTTACATCTTCACCTTTTAAGAAAAATTAGACTCACTATACCATTTTTCGAACTTAGTGACATATTGTTGTTACATATTTGATATAAACGGAGCAGAGATAATATAATTGAAGTAAGATAGTCAACTTTTATTCAAGTTATGAAGGTCATGAGCTTCAAAATTAGTTGTAGTTTACAACTCAGTTTTTTCTTCTTCACAGTTTTGAATTCAGGCTGAAGGTCTCTTTGACAGCAGATGGGAATCTCACATTAATATCACGAATTCGGAATATCAATTGCAAGCCTTTCAGTTTCTCAATTGCACTCCACACATATTTCTCCATTTCTGATATCAGGTATGACTACTAGTAGGAAAACGAAGATTGATGGCCATTTTTCCACATGGTTTCTTTTCTTGGTTCATTATTAATGTGCATATTTCCTTTGATGTTCATTTGCCTTCTGCCCATTGACTATCCTACTATACTTACAGTGAGGTGAGAATTGAGGGGCTAGAGATTCTTGACTATCTCGACAACTTACGCGATAAACAACGGTTCACCGAGCAGGGAGATGCCTTAACATTTGAATCCGAGGTAAAATCAAATGATCAAATTACAGTGAAGTTTTGTCCATATTAATATTAAGATGATTATCGGTTTTCACGTTGAGTCGGGCTATGTTCAAGTGTCTACTCTTCGTATACTCTTCTTTTACTCGGCTGGCAGATAGATCGGGTTTATCTTAGTTCTTCGGACCTCGTCGCAGTGCTTGATCATGAAAGAAAGCGCACATTCGTTATGAGAAAGGAAGGACTTCCAGATGTTGGTAATATTATCAATCCCATCTGATTTTAAGCATCCAACTTGAAATAGCTGCAATTTTGCACTATATAGAATAATAACTATTAGTTCCTTCTCCCTATCTTGAGCTCTAACTTAGAAGCTCTTCTTTGTTCGCAAGTTGACCGAGATCCTAATACATACTAGATTGCTGCTCTCTAAATTCTGTTAATTCATCTGCATCAGATAATGATTCTAATGTTAGTATGAAGATTACTTGTTTGAATTCTGATGCAGTGGTGTGGAATCCATGGGAGAAGAAAGCAAAATCCATCAGTGATCTCGGTGACGAAGACTACAAACAGATGCTGTGTGTAGATGGAGCTGCAGTTGAGAAACCAATCACCTTGAAGCCAGGTGAGGAATGGACTGGTCGCTTGGAATTATCTGTCCTCCCCTCGAGTTAACTACTTGGATCGGAAGAAGTAAAGATCGAAAGCAGTTGGGATTCCGATAAAGCCATTGAAGTTTACAAGTGTGGTATGTGGTAAGCAATCTGATGCTTTGTTCTAACAAAATTATCGTCGTGAGTAAATAACTGAACGATCGTATTAGTTTGATTTGTTGTTGATATTAGAGTCTCCTTTAATGGAAGCGGAGACGTTTTTTAATTTGCCTCCCTTCAGCTATGGCTCTTCAATGTATATCAATGTTGTTCTCATATGGAAGTTCATATATCAAATATAAACTCGTCTCTGTTTGATCTCTTTCTGTAAAATTTGGTCTTTCTTGTTCATCAGATTTTCCTCTGTTTCAAATATACCTTCATTGCATTAGAGAAATAAGACTAAGTTGTTTACTAGAGTTGGTATACAAAAATAACTTATAGAGAGGTATTGCAATAACGAAGTAAGAGGTTTTCTCTCGAAACTTACCTTGAATTTCATGCGCATTTGCAATAATATTTTTGGTCAAACTTAGTCTTATTGCACTTGCAGTTTTTAAATCTATTTTTTTCAAATCTTCGTCACTCAGGTTGGACTTCTTAGAATTTCTACTATAACCATCACTAGGTTCCACAAACCACCATCAGCTTAACTCTTTGGAAACACTACCGCTCGGTCTTCCATTCACGACTTTGTATAACCCAAATTTTATCAATACATCCTTTATTTGCACTTGCCACAGGTTGAGCTTGATACTTCCGTCAAATTTGACAGATTTATTTCACACTAATCTACAAATAGTCTCACTTTATTCACAATACTGTTATGATATCTTTTATGACGTGGAATTTCAAGCAATATTGCAACTACATAACATATTTATAATTCAAGAATCTATCAATTTAAAGTACTGGGACCACTCTTTTGGTGCGTAAAAATAATTAAAAAAATAAAATAACAATAACAATAATAAAGAAACACAAAAACTACAATCATTCTCTCCTTGAATAAGTATCGTCTCAAAGTTTTATACCACTCACATAACTAGAGTCAATACACTAAACTTTAAAGTATTTCTAACTAAGACAAATAAAAAAAATAAAGTTACAAGACCGTCGCATTTGAAACCTATCACTTTACCATACTTTTTAGATGATATTTTTTCTCTTCAAATAATTTGTCAATGACTTGCTAACATGCGGGACTAATAAAATGAAAGGGTTGTATTTCAAATCAATGATGAGAATATGAGAAGATGTTGCTTTTCTCACTCCATTCAAAAAGGGTATGCAACCATCAAGAAAGGTGATAAAAATGTAGTTTTCATTGCAATGATTTAACAAATTTTAGTATCAAGTGGTAATAATCAAGTGTAAGTACCATATTTATGTGATTACAAGATAATCCGTCAAATCAAGCATTTTGTTTGTTTTTATAATTCACTTAATCATATATTACCCACCAATTTAAACTTTTAATAAAGTTAAAACTAAAATGACTCATTTGATTCTCAAAATAGACATTCTTTAACATTAAATTGAATAAAATGAAGCGATCTTGTCCATCAAATAATTTTGCTAGTCAAATAAAATATATCAATGCAGCTAATTTATCTTATTATCTCACAAGTAATTCAAACTTTTAATAAAGTTAGGACTATGATGACTCAATTTATTCTCAAAAAGATAATCTTGAATAAATTGAGGTGATTTTAATCGCGAATAAATTCAACTAGTCAAAATATAATAATGCAATTACTTCATCTTATTATCTCACAATGCAATTCCAAATCCTAATAAAATTAGGAACTATTTAACACTGGAGAAACTCACTTTATTCTCAAAATAAAAACAAATTAAAAGACAAAAAGAAACTACTCAAATCCGGTATCAAAATACGTCCTTTTCTATTTATTTAAAGAAAACGAAAATAATAATTTTAAGCTCAATTCCCAAACAGCCCCTCCACTCTTCAATTCAAATTCTCTCCAGTTTCTTGATAATTTCAAATCTTAGAGGAGAAAAATAAGATTATTAAATTAGTCATATAATAAAGTGCTTTTGCATGCCACTTTAAATCTTAATATAAATAAACCAGTTATACAGAAAAAATGGAATAAAATAAAATCTCTGAAAATGTGAAGGGCATAAAATTCAATGACCCAAATGCCCTGGAGTTCATGAACCATGCCTGCCTTATTAGTTCTTACATTACATGCATGAATGACGTGATTATTTCAAAATTTTCCATTAAAAAAAAAACTTTACCAAAATGTGAGATGGCCATTGGAAGTTACATTTATGACCTTTGCTTTTTATTTAAAAAAAATGTAGGTTTTCAAATATGATCTAATAATGATTTTGAACTTTTTTTTTTAAATTAGGATATTTATCACTACTTTATTTTATTTTATTAATTTTTAATGTTTACAAAATTTTAAAAAGAAATACCAACCCGTATATATATATATTTTTAACAGCTTTTTTCCGTGTTTTAAAGCTTGACTGCAACTTTCAACACATATGAAAACATCTACCAAACTTTGTTTTTTAAATTGAAGAAATAAAATTACTGTCAAATAGATCTTAATTATGAAATGATACATCTAATTATTAGATATATCCTAGGACTTTTAAATGTTAATGTCCCATATAGAAAATGAAAATATCAATATAATGTTGATAAATATATCTAAAAGTAATTATAAAAATAAAAAATTAATAAAAAATATTTAAATAAATAAATAAATATTTCACTGTTATTAAACAAGTTAAAATTATTAATGTTGATATTATATTCGTATCACTGACATTTTATCAGTATAATTTTAAAATTTGTCCATTTTCTTACGTTCATATAAAACCATCGATTCACTACTCATACAGACCTCAAACTCATGGGCATATATTGAATTTAGATTTACATCCCAATAATATTTTTTANAAAAAAAAGAAAGAAAGAAAAGAGTGAAAATTGCGTCACGTGGAAGCGACACGTCAGCAGCGTACGAAATTTGTGTACTCGAAAGGCGTGAAGGGCAGCTTCCGTTGGCATTAAAGCCTGTACCTGTTGAAAGGAGGCAGCGCTTCAGCGGGGCCCACCTAACTGTACAGCTAAGCAAATTTAGTTTCATCGTTTTCTGAAGCTGGACTCGTACGCCTACATCAGTAATTTCACACCCGCCCCCCTTTTTTCTTTTTATTACAATATATATTCTTAAACTAAATTTCAAATACTGTATGATTGGGAACTTAGAAAAAGTTTCACTCTCCAAAAACTCGTCCCTAAGATATTTTATTTAGTTAATTAGATTTGTCAATGATAAATATCGATTTTCATGTTTTTGGCATGAGGAGTAGATATTTAATACATTACGTTAATAGATAAAAAATGAAAAACAAATATTTATCCATGCAACGAACCAAATCTCATTCGAAAGATTTTTCGTATACCAATTTATGTCTCGTTGAATTAGGGTATGGGACCCAAACAAGGACAAGATATCGAGAGGCAGGAGATAGAGAGTGCATATCTTAAACTTCGTCCAATTCTAATTTCATATTTATGGTAAGATAGAGACTTTTCTTTACCAGACAACTAAATTTCCCAAAAAGAATTTTTCCTTTATTCACTTATAATTCTTCATATTAGAGAATGTGGCCAGAATAAGAGTAAAAGGATAGTAGAGTTGGAGCATATACCTCGACAATTGAAGATAATGATAACGTCTTTTACTTTGGCAGCATTTGAATTCCCATTACATATTTACAGTGTTATATTCTAAAAAGAAGTTATCAACCTTACTATAATTCAACTGGTTAAGACATCTATTTCCGACTAAAAGTAACGTTGTACTAAAAGAAAAATATTCTAAAAAAAAAGCATTAAGATGCTTTTGAAATAATAGTTACAAAACTTCAAGGAGTGTAAGTGATTGTTTCTTGGTGGATGTGCAAAAGTTTGACTTGTTTAAGTAACCTCATTAGGAGAAAATTAAAAATGTAATTAATCTTTAACTCTTTATATATATAAGTTTAAGTATTTACAATTAAGATGGGTGTTCCTTCCCTATTTCTCTCCATTTGGTGGCTCAATGTTTGGCATTCTTGGGGACTATGCTAATAATCTTGACTTATGCCCCAAATTAAACATAATAAAACTCAAAAAAAAAAAAACCCGCCAATTCAATTCTCATAATCCCAATAAGAAAATGATAACAAAAAATTTTCTGGCGACCCAAACAAGACAAAAACTTTTCTTGTACTTTGTGTCCATTAATTATCATGTAAGAAACGATTTTGTCGAATCCCATGTTCTTCTTTCTTTGTTTTTTATTCTATGTTTGTATTTCACAACTTGCCCACCAAAAGACACTGCCAAACAAACCTTCTCTCTCTCTCTCTCTCTGAAGTCTAACATGTTCATTCTAATTCTTGTCTGGCTGGCTTCTCATTGGCAATTTTTTTTTGTTTGTTTTATTTGCAAGTGGGTTTCTAATTAGTTATATATGCTTATATAGTTTTAGTTGTTTAGTTTGGACTTTGAGTAATATTTTTCTCATTACAAGATAGAATATGATTGTTACTTTAATGATTAATAATTTCGTACCTTCCAAATTCTTAGTTCGTGCGATAAAAAAAATATCGATTCCTTTGACTATTGTTTATTTAACCATCTTTCATATTATACTCAGGAAGAAAATAAAAAAAAGTTCATAATCGTTCAACGTTGATGTAGTTTTTTATATAATCCTTCCATCGTTATGAGAGAGTTATTTTCACTTAACAAAATGCTTAGTACATGTCTATTTAAAGACGGAAGAATATAATAAAAAAATTCAATTGACAAATAATTACTAGGATTGTTAACTAATCCTACAACTAATTGAGATTAGTTATTTAATTTTCACTCTACCATTATTATTTTTTTATTATTCCAAATAATATAGATTGCCTAAAGGAGAGTTTTCTAATTAATAGGGAATATCTAATTAATCATAGTTCTATCGCTAAATCACCTTATACAATTATAGAGAATATCTAGTCAAATAAAACTTTTTAGAGAAAAACTGCAAGTGGACAAAAGAAATTTTACTTCGTGATATCTTTGTTCTTTCTGTACATATTATAAAGTCATAGTCACAAAATAGTTCATGTTGTAATTTAGCAATATGAAAAATAAACACACAACAATATTACATCAACATGTGGATGGTACTATATATGAAAGTATAAGCGGAGGTAAAGAGATTTGAACACAATACAACAAAATAATTCGCATAAACTAAATTTTGTCAGTTGAATCATTACTTATTTAAATATGACCATGCCTT